CTAATAACACTAATAACTAATAAAGACACACAGTAATCACCACTGTAGAGGTGTTTCTCTCTGTAGTCTGTTAAACTGTGTTCTGTGTTCTGTTCATACCCAGTGAGCACTAACCCGGATTTCAACGTTGATTTCTGGTTGAAAACGCGTTGAAATGGGGTCTGAACGTCTTAGACGTATTTTCACCGTCTCTTCAACCGGCTAAATTACGGTTACAATATCAACGTGTCACAAAACACCAATTTCTTTAAAATATTGATGGTTTGTTCAGTTGTAGGTTGAAAGAGACGCGATGTTGGTTACTTTAAACGTATTTCTCCAAAATCATATTAGGCTGGCCGGTGATATGTGGTCTACACGAAGACGTGATTTCAACGCATTTAATGTTTCATATAAAACGTCGTAAATATGGAACTATAGACTGTGTGCTGTCAACAAGAAGCTCCCAGGACATCTAATGAGAGCAGAGCACATTCTGTGATCGCTGCGGATCCGCACATCGAACGCGTCGTTTTCACGTTCAAATACTGCAGGCAGGTAACAGGCAGCCTACTATTAGGACCCAGGCAGCAGGGGGCATACCATTAGGACCCAGGCAGCAGGGGGCATACCATTAGGACCCAGGCAGCAGGGGGCATACAATTAGGACCCAGGCAGCAGGGGGCATACCATTAGGACCCAGGCAGCAGGGGGCATACCATACAATGGGGTGGGAGGTTCACCTCTCCTCCTGAGCTCAGACACACCTGAGAGAGCAGCTGATCAGCCTCGAGGCGAGCCTTTGTTTGGTGACTGATTTAGTAAGTTCTCTTTCTTTCCTTTTTTAAACATGTTTAAAAGCATGACGTTAAGAGTGAAATTGTAGAAACATGATGTATTCTTTTTAGGCCATAGCATTAAATCAAAGGTGTTATCTGCTCGAGGGGACGTGGTCTAGAAACATAGATAATTACTTTTACATTGTATGTTCTATCAAATGTTTGTGTAAAGGTTCCTTTCTGTATAATTGTTCCTCTTTAGTTTTAAAGACGCTACAGTGGGGGGGTGTCCAAACGTCTTTCAAAGAGGGCCAACAGTCCCTGCTGACATTATTTTAAACAATACAAGTAGCCTATACATACATTGTTATTTAATCATTTTATTTTCAATGACAGCAAATAGCAATGTAACCAAATGTGAGCATTCATGTGTGAACACATCTCAACAACTATTCTGTTTCTTTCACATCCTGAAAGTCAGATAACACAAAGAACAAGCCATCTAAAAGCTAAGTACATAGAAACCGATCAATGTTCTCACCTCAAGACAATCTTAAATATGACTTAGTGAGGGTAATGAAAAGCTGTCTCTAAAAATAGCACTAGTCACCATGGAGCTCCGTCTAAAATTGTAGTTGCTGTTCTTTTTTAATCAAAAACGCTTGTATTAGTGTCCCGTTGGCGCCAGACGCGCGCCGCGAGCACACCCCGTCGTCAGGTCTGTAAATCCTCGGAACAGGCCGCGGGGCAACAACTCAGAGGTGGCGGGGGTAGAGGCGAGGCAACGCAATCTGACCGAAAAGGCCCAGACTAGAGGTTTGAACGCGGGCGCTCGAAGAGGCTCGCGCGCCTCGGAGGGTTGGATCCCCCGCTCGGCTATAGACGAGACTTTTTACTAGTTTCTTCGTGGAGACAAAGGTAGCATTGGAAAAGCTGGTGTCGGTGACAACAGACGGGGCTCCCGCGATGACGGGCCGGCATGCAGGCTTCATTGCGCAATGCAAAGGTGACCCAGACTTCGCAAAATGTCTACATTACCACTGCATCATTCACCAGCAGGCACTATGTGCAAAAGTAACCGGCTTTGATCACGTGATGATACAAAAATATCAGAGATGTGATACCTCTGACTTTCAAATGTTGAAACAGATTAACAGAAATAAAAGTTGCATGTTTAAATATGTATGTGTAGCTATACCATCATTGTTGTGGAAATCATTCTTAATAATTATTGTGAAGAATAATTAACTGACATGTGATCAGACAGTCTCTTCACATATATTATTATTATTATTATTAAGGTGATCTGTGCAACTTTGTTATTCAGGAAGTTTGTATCAAATAAGTAGCCCTCCGTACTACTCGGTACCCTTGAAGTAGCTCTGTTTAAAAAAGGTTGGTGACCCCTGATCTAGCGCCATCATCAGGTCAAAACTATAATACTTATGACATATTCCCATCAGCCTCAGCTGTGCTTTGTTTATTGCTCATTAACAGATGTTAGCACACTAACCTGATCAACATTAAACATCTTTAGATTTCAGTTAGTCAGTAAAACCGAACTAAAGACAATAACTGGTGTTCACTTTTTAATTCCAGGAGGTTTCACCAAGTCAAATCTGTTCTGAACATGTGGGAAAGATAACATGTTAAAATCATATTCAAACATTAATTTTTTCAGTTATTCATTTTACAAATCTTCAAACCTTCTGGTCCTGCTTCATGTCAATGTTCAGAACATTTTAAAGGTTTTGTTTGCGTCTGATTTATCTTCAAATAAATGGTTGTTATACATTATAACATCTGATTTAGAGCTTTGGTATGCTGAAAATGTTCCTGTTGTAATTGTTAGAATATTGTGTTGTGATCACATTTGTTGAACTAAAAACCTCCATAAACGATGCAGAGTTGACTTGTACTTTCTCTGCCTTGCACACAAAAAGCTGCCTAACATCATCTTCTCACGACATTTTATAGACCTCACAAACATTCCTTAAATGTCCCAGTCAGAGAGGTCAAAGGTCAGTTTAACCCCATCCTCAGCTTCACTTCACCAGTCCAGCAGAGGGCAGCACCGGCCTGGTTCAGTGGTGACTGCTGAAGCCAAAACAGACCTCAGAAATATTGATCAATTAATCAAGAGGAGAACCATGAAAGAATAAACACTGAAGTGAATATGAAGGTTGCAACACACAAGCTCTTTCCAGCTTTATTTCAGGTGGAAATAATAAGATGTTAAAAATTTACAGCTTCCAGCTCCTTAATTATCTGTTTATATATCAAAGTTAATTGAACAAAATAATCAAACAAAAACGAGACATTTTAGAGACAAAACAAACAATCCATTAATCAACTAAATAATTATTTATAATGAAAATAACAGTTAGTTGCAGAACTGGATTCCAGCTGATTTAGTGGCACATTATTGAATGTATGAAGTCACATTTTTAAAGTTTTGAGTGACACATCTTTAACTCTTTCATGCATTAAAGCAGTGGTTCTCAACTGGTCTGGTTGCGGGACCCACCATCACCCCTTAATGACAAGCCACGTCCCAAATTTTATATATATATATATATATATATATATATATATATATATATATATATTCAAGAAGTCTAGTAGTAGTAACGTCTGTGTAGTAAACAACTGTCAAATCAAATAAAGAAAGTACACATCAATTATATTTTAACAAATATTATTCTCATTTTTCAAATGTAACTGGATGGATTATAAATAATACATAGAAATACATGAATAAATGTTCTTCTCATTTCAAGTAAAATAACGGCTGGATTAAAAAATAAATTACGTAAGAAAATTCATTTTAGAAAAGTTATTTTCACTGAATTGCGCTGCAGCTTTAAATTCAGTTAATTTCTCTCTTTTGGAGATCGTCCTATGATTTGACTTTCACAACTCACACCTCAACAGTCCTGCTCTGCTGTCTGTATCCTCGTCTCTCTCCGTGTGTCACGGTGTGTGTACATCTCACTGAGTCAGGAAACTTGTCAGAATACACACATTTGATTGGCTGAGCTGCATCACGTGATGTGATTCACAACGCACTGGTCGGTGTTTTTCCTGCACCGCTGAACAAGTGCCGTAAATGCTGGAATAATTCCGCTGCATAAAAAATGCCCTTCAAAACAAAATCACTTTTTTTTGTTTTTTTTTGTCAGGCAAAGGCCCGCGACCCACTTTTGGGTCGCGACCCACCAGTTGAGAATCACTGCATTAAAGCATCAGTTTAGCACCTGTTTTGTACCTTTTTATAAAGTCTTACTATTCTCCATTGTTGCCTCAGGACTGAACTCTTCTTCAGGCTAAATCAATGCTAATCAATGCGTATCTCCAATGACAACTCACCCAAAGCAAAGTATGAAACTCTGGAGTAAATTCTGCTTGTGAAGAACAGAGTGAAAGCTTTTAAATGCTGGTTTGACCTACGATCCTCTGGAGTCCCTGAATGTCACATCTCAGCAGCTCCATTATGTTCAAAAGCTGATAAACAATGAAGTCGAATTTAATAGAATCAGCTTTCTCTGTTTGAACCCCGGCCTCTGTTCAGAGGAGTTTAATGTTCACATCATAATTTGGCTCATTATGCTTCTTAATCACACTTATGACATTGTGTATAATATGAATACATTTCTCCTTCACTTTGCAATAAAACAACCATGTAGACCTTTAACTGAAGTCATTCTTCTTTATGCAAAAACTCAATAAAATAAATTCATGTTTCCAGTAAAGTCTGAGGATGAAGCAGAGAAAGTTCCTCATCCATCATGAAGGAACCACAGAGCTCTTCAAACTTCATGGACACTTCCTCTGGTCTCTGTCCGTCTGGATCACTGAGGCGCTTCATGTCGGATCCCACCAGAGAAAAGACCTCTTTAAGGTCCACGCTTGTTTCCTAGAGGAAGGTACTCTCAGTCTCCTGGTTCTGGTAGACCACCTCCTGCCTTTCAGTGTACAGCTGCTCCATCCTCTGGAAGGCCTGGTGGCCCTTTTTACCTGCACACAACAGATAGAGATCATAATAATAATAACATCATTACATACTAATGAATTAAAATATGATTCATGTTTGTACCAAAAGAGAGGACAGTTTCTCTGGCAGCGCTGCAAAGATCTTCATCAGCTGATCTCCACAAATCTGATATGTGGTCCACGCTCTCTGTGGCCCTGAGGCATTTAAGAGCCAGACAGGAGCCATGTTGGATCTGAACATCAGGGCTCTTCAAACTCTCTGTGTAGTAAACTATGGCCTGGAGGAGGAGGAGGAGGAGGTTAACACAGATCTCTGGTGTACCTTACTCCTGAAGGCCTTGCAGCCTGCATAGTAAACAATATGTATATTAATATGCATGTTAAATGTTAGCATGCGGTGGCCTCTACCTGACTCCTGAAGGCCTTGCAGCCTGCAGCTCTACACAGACAGCTGGCTGCAGCTTTGCAGACTTTGTGGTTGGAGTCGACCTGCAGCGCGGCCAGAGTCTGCAGTGTGCATCTCAGTGGGAGGAGCTCTGTGATGCTCCGCCTCCTTAGCTTATTTAGAGCCCGCCTCCTTTTGGGGCTCCTCAGGGCTGACAGGATGTACTCTGAAACACGGTAGAGACCACCAGAACATCACAACTGAAACGTTTTCACTTTAAATCTCATCTAATCTTTCTGACACTCCCTGTCCTACTTGGGCCCTAAACTCCACCCGCCTGGTGTTCAAAGTGAGTTAAAACAAACATCACAGACTTTATCCGTCTCAGATAAGCACAAACACACAGTGTTGTTGTTGTTTGAGCACTTTTATGTGTTGTTCTGTGCAAATAAAAAAAGTAGTGTCGCAGTTTAATAAGCAGCAGACGTCAACATGCTGAAGCCACACGAAGAAGGAAAGGAAACAAGGGGAGCTGGAGGGAAGGAAGGAAGTGTTTTTGTGTGTTCACATGTGATTAATGATGAATTGTGTGGTTGTTGATACTTTATACACACACACACACACACACTGAACATCAGAAGAGTTTGAGTTTCTTCACATAGATTTATTTTTTTCTCTAAACTCATATACAAGTGGTTTGAAGTGGGCGGGGCCAGTTTGGTGACGTAATGTGATTGGTCGGCTGCTGACTGTTAGAATGATCTGGTCCAATCACTCGTCCACGCGGTCTCAGATTAGCCACGTTTTTGAGTGTAAACTTTGAATAAATAGTCATGAATATTTTATATTATAGAATATTTAATATTTGTATTCAGAGGCATGAAAATAAAATTAAGAGGGCAAAAATGAGTTTTCTTCCGCTGCAGAGGAGAAAGTGACAGGAATATAATATGATATAATAATAATAATAATATGATATAATATAATAATATGATATAATAATAATATAATATAATAATATGATATAATAATAATATAATAATAATATGATATAATAATATAATATGATATAATAATATTATAATAATATAATATGATATAATAATAATAACAATATAATGTATAATAATTATAATATAATATAATGATATAATAATATTATATAATAATACTATAATAATAATATAATATTATATAATAATACTATAATATAATAATACTATAATAATAATAATCTCTGCAGTGTTTTAAAAAATTTTTAATTTTTGCAGTTCACATAAAGAAATGAAAAGGCAGCGCTATCATTCTATTATTATGATGGTGGAATATTAGCGTTTGACTCATTCATTAACATGTGATTTGTTTATTAACAGATCTTTATGGCGTGAAGATGAAGAGGAGCCAGAGACACGTTGAGTCGCTGTTGTTACTGCTCCGTCCTGTTAGTTTAGCTTCATCTGTAGAATATTCACTGAACTACTAATGATTTACTACTTTAGACTAAAACACATTTTCACTGTTTGAAAACGAAATTTAATTATTCAGCATTTTTACAACATATTCATGACTGTTAAGATGCACGGCTCGTAAACGTATACCTAAAATATTCATTTAAAACATTAAATAATATAAAGTGAACATCTAATAACTGATGCATTTGTATATTTGTGTCTTTGTTTCATTTTTGTCTTAAAATATTAAATCGGATGCTAAATGCTAACCCGGCCAATAAAATGCAATAATCTTAAATTATTGTAAATATCAAACACAACCACAAAATAACGGCGTGTAAGTACACAGGAGAATATATATACATTCATTTATTTCTGTTTGTACAAACGTGGTCGGGTTATATTAAATATGTTTTGGTTGTGAAATTAAAAATATATATATTTTAACATTTTCAAAAGTTATTTTAAAGCTCAAAGCATTAAAGATGATCAAGAGTTTTCAATGAAACTACTTCCTACCAAAGAAAATAGTTTATGAAATTAAAACAGACAAAATAAATAAATGTCATTTAAGAAGAATTCCCTCAGGTGATTCAGGTGATTCAGATGATTCAGATGATTGATGTGATTCAGGTGATTCAGGTGATTCAGGTGATTCAGATGATTCAGATGATTGATGTGATTCAGGTGATTCAGGTGATTGATGTGATTCAGGCGATTCATGTGATTCAGGCGATTCATGTGATTCAGGTGATTCATGTGATTGATGTGATTTAGGTGATTGATGTGATTCAGGTGATTGATGTGATTGATGTGATTCAGGTGATTGATGTGATTCAGGTGATTGATGTGATTCAAGTGATTCAGGTGATTGATGTGATTCAGGTGATTGATGTGATTGATGTCAGTGGAGAGTTGTAAAGAAGACAAACGTTCTCTGGAGAGACGTGAGACGTGATCTCCCAGCTGCTGGACGCTGCAGCGCTTCAGATACACACACAGCTGGAAGAGAGTCACTCTCTCTGGGCTGCAGACTGGACGAAGGCCGGGTACCGACCCACAGACCGCCTGGAGCTCCTGGAGGAGCTGAGAAAAGACTGAGGAGGAGGAGGAGGAAATAAAGGAGTTCAGCTCCGTCTGTGAAACACTGATCAGAGATGAGGAGCTGAGGGACTTTAGTTCTTGTTTTCTGCTGAAGGAGAATCTCCAGTAAAACTTTACAGGAAAATCAATCGAGTTTGTTCATCAACCTGCTGAGTTTCTTTTCTCTTTCAGCAGATTCAATGTGGACCAACGGTGTGGAAGCCCATCTCCACCACTGAGGAAACAATAAGATCCTGTAAGTCATTATTATGACTTACTATCTCATTATTATGACTTACTATCTCCTTACTATCTCATAATAATGACTTACTATCTCATTATGACTTACTATCTCATAATGACTTACTATCTCATTATAATGAGATACTATCTCATTATAATGAGATACTATCTCATTATTATGAGATAGTATCTCATTATTATGAGATAGTATCTCATAATAATGAGATAGTAAGTCATTATAATGACTTACTATCTCATTATTATGACTTACTATCTCATTATAATGAGATAGTAGTTCATTATTATGAGATACTATCTCATTATGACTTACAGGACCTTCATTGTTTCCTCACAGTGGTGGAGATGGGCTTCCATAAAAATGTGACTTGAAGAACACACTTAGAAATATAAACAATGATCACGACACAATGAACGTTCATGTAAATACATTCTGAAACATCTGATTTTTAAACACCACATTTACAGCTCATTCAACAATAAATTACTAAATGTCTTTATGTATTTTATTTAGTGCTGGGCAAGTTAACGCGTTATTATCCCCCCCCCCCCACACACACACACACACACAGACGATCGTCTCGTTACAGGATCAAACGTGACAATATCAAAACACATGTTTTTAAATGAACATATAATCACGTGAGAACAAACTGCTGTTAACTCAACTCTTTATTAGCATAACTTTCTCATGCAGGTTACTGCCACGGTACAGACTACAGGTTCCATGCTTCACCTACACTCCCCTGGGTCCTAAGTCCCTCCATGTACAGCTTCTTATCACCCTCTATGTACCAACGTACATTTATAACAAATACCACACATATTACGGTAATCAGCGTTATGTGTCTGACCACAATATCACAAAATAAATGATTCATTTAAATTATTGTTTTAGAGTTTTTAAAGTGTTTTGTTTGTAATATGTATAATAAGCATCATTTAGTATCACTACTGAGAATTTAACAAACATAAAAACATGACGTAGATATGTTTGTAGTTTTCAAGAAGTATATTTAAATATCATCTCTTACACACATGAAGATAAAGTTATGAACACCGGCTGAATATCTATGATCAGAATCATTATAACTGTGTTATAACTGCTGCTGTGTAAAGGGAATATTGCTGTTAACAACAACCTGATGTGTTTAAAGTGTTTACAAACCAAATGTTATTGACCTTTTGTTCATATAGCAGTACTTTAAAATAAAAGTGCACAATACACTACTTTTGAATCATTATTGAACTTTGCGCATAACAATGCGATTAATCGAGATTAAAAACTGTAATCGTTGCCCAGCACTAATTTTATTACAATAAATTTGTCCCTCAGACTCCGTCTTGTGTGTCGGCTGGTGGAGAACCAGTTCAGAAACATCCCATAATGAAGAGGACGCAGCTCAATGACGCTGTAATAAATAATACAATAACTCAATAATATAATTACAACAATCAGCTCCTACTCAAATGTGTCCGTTCTACCATCATTTTAATGTAATATTATATAACTGATGCAATAAATCAATGCGCATCATCTGAGCTGCAAGGCATTGTGGGAAGTGTAGTAGCAGATGAGATGTGATGAGGAAGACGTACGTCAGGCAGGATGTATAAAGAGAAGGTTCCAGAATAATCATAAAGAAGTGCAGTAAACGAGCTCACAGCTTCAGTACCTTTGTCCGACTGGCCCGGCTGCTTGGCCTTCACCTTGTGGGTGTAACGTTTCTTTAACGTCCTGCAGAACGCGTCGGAGACGCAGCAGAACGGAGAGACGCCGTCCGTCACACAGTCGTCCCAGAACAGCAGCACCTCCCTCGACCTCTGGGCCTCTGGGAGGACTGAGGAGCAGACAGTGAAGGGCTCGTGATTATGGATGTGACTTGATGAGCTCCTGGTTCTGATCGTGTGATTATTCATTCTAACATAGCTGGTACTTTAATATTCACAACCGCCCCCTAATGATGACGGTGTCGTGGGGATGTTTGCTGAGAGGACGAGTGGAGCAACGGATCGGATCAGCACAAAAGAATATCAAGCTTCTAGCCCCCGATACTAATTATTGGTCATTGATGATCCACATGTTTGATTATATCAGCTGGTCTCCAAGGATCCAGAATACCGTCCCAAAAATCATTTGAACGCTCTGAAGTCAGTAAACCATCAACAATACTAAATGTTATACTTCTACTTTGTTATTGTAATTCATAGCATTTTGTACTTTATAAAAATGGGGGGGGGGGGGGGCATAGGGTATAAAGTAATGAACAATGCTATTGTGAAGTCAGTTGACTCCGGACAGCTCGGGTTACTTTTACACTTTGTCATGCAAATAAATCTGCGCGAACTGAAGAAAATCCAAAGTCTGTGGTGTTCTGTGCTCGTTACTGAGTCCTAACAGTGAGATCCTGTCTCACCACGAGTCAGACAGAGAACACTCACTGAGCCGGTAGGTATCGAGTTTGACCATAAAGTCAATGAAGCTGACCCACAACGGGAGGACTCCACGGGGACCTTTGCTCTCCCACAGACTGAACATGAGCTCAACATAAAGGTAAAGCTGGTGTTCTGCATCGGTGGTGTCGGTCTGTGAGGAGGACAGGACGGCTGCGTCCTAAGACCGTAAGATAGTAACTTGTATTCAGTAAGTGTTTTGAGCCCCACTAACTAATTCAAGTTTTAATTATAAGTATAATATAATTCTGAGTGACGTCATTTTGATTAGACTGGCAAACTACTGGATTTATTCATGTTTATCACCAAAACTACATTTTACAGGTGAAATGTGAACACATCATGATAACGTTATAATGTACCTTCAGCCAGTACTCATGTTCACTGAGCAGCAGCAGTGCTGCTAACGTTACTAGCTCTCCTCCTGTTGGTTAGCCGTT